CATATAAACAATCGTGTTATATAATACGTTGCCTAATATATTATTCCATATAATGCACAAAAATCTTGATATATTCAGAAGCGAAATAAAGCTTTTCTATGTTCTTATGGATTATTTAATACGAAACATTTTCTGTACACATCTATGCCATCTTATTATAATTTGCATAAGATCAGATGAAGAGCATTTCTTCTTCAGAGCGTATTTTTCAATTATTCCAGATGATTTATCTAACGGAGATAGAGATTTCGATTTTTCTCGAGTAGAGAATGGAAGAATCTATTTCCTTCAACATGAATAATCGTTACTGCCAAAATATTTTACGCGCGTTCGAACAGAGAGAATCCCCAAATTTTTCGAGACAGTATCGAAGAAAATTTGATTTTCATTGAATATATGACAATTGTCTCTACTAATATCTTTGTTATTTAGTGATCCATTTGCACTTGAAATGTCATAGTAAAAAATGCAAATTTTTGATCTAGATTATCATTCAGCTCTTCGTAAAATTTCCAACAACCGGCTTTTCCATATGTACGGCTGTGACTTCTGCCAACGAATTTCGCGTGTGCAATATACGGAAACATAAAAGTATAGCTCGACAAAATTTTCCGCCACCGTTGATTTCTTCCATCTTCCACCTTCCACTTTCCTTCTCTCTAAAATCCAGCAAAATGAAACGAATGGATTTGCGTCTGATCCGCGGTGTATCGTTGTACTTGGCGCTCGTTTCATCCAAGCAAAGCCTTGATTATGAACTTCGTTATTGAAATATAACTGTTCAGAATAATAGATATAATATTTCTATAGTCTGATTGCACCGGTAATCTTAATTAACAAACTTTATTTAGCGATTATCTCACTCTGTTTCCGAATATAGAGAGAAATTTATCGAGTTGCATCGACGCAATATCTAATCTGGTTAAATCGCGTTTAATCGCGCAAATAGAACAAGTACTATACCGCATTAACGCGATTTCATCCATGTTGCCGTTCTAGTGGAAACAAGAAATGTGGTAAGTCGATTTCAGCAAATAGACGATTCTGATCGAGTTCTAATCGCGCACATGCCGACGACCGTAAACGTACAATTTTCTGGTAAAACATTGTTTCAAATAAACAACGACTGCGTCTTTAATTGCGTTTTCCCGATATGTACGTTCCATTGTAAAATATAAATTCGCAACTTTAATCATATGAGCTTCCTTATGTATCAGCGTATAATCTTGCAAACGAGATGCACGAGGAGAAATAACGAACATGAAAGAGAAAAAAGGGATTGTCAAAGGAAATCCTCTTAACGAGCCGCACTCGCCTAGCTGGTCACGATAACGAGACGATTCTATACTTTGCTACATTTTAATACAGGATTATGCACTATTACAGCGCGAGAATAACCGCGGCACTTCAGAAATCCTATAAATCCAGAAGTCTTTTAATATAAAAATATAACTAGGAAATAGGAGAAACATTACAAGAATATAAAAAATTTTTATATTTGATAGATAATACTATTCTCTTACATATAATTATAATTCTCTTTGATAATATTTTGTCACATATTATAAGAGAAATGTAGTATACATTTGTTCTCGGTATCATATAAAATTTTGTTTCATTCTTTATGTAATCTTATCGATAAGATAATTGTTTAACTGACATCTGACAAAATGCTCAAGCTATGATGACAAAAATCATTCGTTTTCATCTCTTTCTCTCTTTCGTCCTCGATGAGTTGCCGAGAAGATTTATAGAGCAGTTCTTGAAACATAAACAGTTCGCTTTATTCGAAGAAAAAATTACGTTTCATAAAATTTAGGAGAGAATATTGTATCAAGTGAAACAATAATAAATATTTTTAATTAAATGCGTGAAGTTGATAGAACTGTTATATAAATATACCATATTTTTTTGTATGTGCAAATCCCGAAACAATAAACAAATTAACAAGAGCAAGAGTTATATATGATATAAATCATATAATTGCAAAATTCGAACGTGCCAGTAAACTTAGTGGAAGTTTTCGATTCTTAATTCAATGTGTACGCATTTCTACAAAACAGAGGGTATAAATCCAAGCAGATGCAAATAAAAAAAAAAAAAAAAAACCGCAGACAAAGGTACTGTCCGAAGTCTCTTCGAAGTACTCTATTTAAGTGATGAAATTAAACGAGACGATACGATGGCGCGAGAAAAGTAACGTTGGGTAGGCAGTGCCGTGGCAGGGGGGGGGGGGGGGGGG